AGAACGTTGAAGAAGGAGAGAGGAAGCACCTAATATAGCCCCGTCAACATCACCTGACACCCGTGCACCTGACATAGGTAGAAGCAGCGCAGCGTACTTCCGTGATACTATCTGCGGCACGACGGGGCGAGCTTTTATGGACGCGATGACAAAACTACCGTGTAAGCACTGGTAGTTTTGTCAATTGCCACCCCCAGACCAACCTATTTCCCATGCAGGCTGAGCGCCACGCAGCTGAATCATTGGACGGGGATCGAATGCGCCGACACTCCCTCGCAGGACTGCGAGGTTACTTCCTCTGCATTGCCCCGCGCAAGGCACACTTGAACGGTCGTTCTGGCTGCAAAACTACCACTGCTGGTAGTTTTGCTTTCCATGGGAGATATGAGGTAGGCAGATGGATTCAGATGACCACAGACATCGTGTAAGAGCAGAAGACTGAGCCAATACACGGGAATAAATAGTTCAGTAACAACGTGAGGGACTCGGAGTCTTATACTGACATTCTTCTCACTCCAAAGCCGCTTCTAAGTTGAAAACACCATGTTATCCCCGACCGTAATCACGAACGTCATCTTTGGTAGCCTTAACTTGGCAACGGCCTTGCTGATGCTCTGGCAGGGACACCAAAGGCAAAAGCGCTTTGGTAAGTGTCCTGAAGGCGCGTATGGGGGTTGCAAAGCGGAAGACAAGCTGACGGCAAAGACACGCATGCGCATGCGGACGAAGAGAGTCGGGGACGAGGCGCAGGTCCATAACTGATCATCTGGGCAGTGATCAGTGTGGTCTGAACTGGCAGTAGAACAGATCGACAAGCAGAGCAAGAAGCAAGATTGAGGTCTCAGAAATATGATAGGTATGGAGTGATGTTGAAAGAGAGTGCAGCTTGACCCGACCGTCGACCGTTTCGGTGGTAGTTGGAGAAGCAATGATCGGCCCCGAAGAACCCCAACCGCACCCCGCTATGTTTTCAGGACTCATAGGTACCTCCAGCCCAACTGTCAATACAGGCATACGGTAACCAATGAATTCACCAACAACAAGCACTGGGATAATCACAGAAATAATCACAAAAATGATTAGACTCAGAAGCATCATTCCACGACCTCTTCCCGGCAGCCTGACCCGTCTTGCCAGTTCGCCTTGGCTATCCGAGTGAGACGTGAATTAAGTAGGTACCTTATCGTCTGCCGGACTTGTGGCTCCCACGACGGCAGTCCTACCCTGGCCAACCAAGCCAACCTGGTCTGCCCTGTTCCGCTGTTTCAGAGCCATCCATCTATTCTCAACCTCAAACCCCTGACTTGCGCGTTCGCACCTTGCAGACGAACGGACGGACGACCTTGACGACCTGCACTGATAGACTGATCGTCAGCATCTTTTGTTATAACCAACTTACGTGCTCTCGGGTCCTTGGTCTTTGTCTGTTGGCTACCCGCCCGCCCTCAAGCCCTCTTGCACCTTGTCCGTGCCTTTCAAACTTCAAAGCTCGTCCCCGTACCGACTCCATAGGAGTCCCTCCAGATTCAGAAGTTTAGCTGTACATCTAGGGCCTTGGCGAGATCGCAAGACCGGGACCTCTGACAGGAGACGACAGATAGGCCCAACCCCACCACGGCTCGATCGCTACGCTACGGGTACTACTTTACAGCACGCTACCTTGCTGTCGTGACTCGCTGGGCAACTCCCGAGAACCCCCAAGCCCCTTCCCATCAGACTTCCCGCGCCCGCGTCCTCCCGCCTTTCCTGCCGCGCTTCCTCCCGCTCGCTAGGTAGCCAACTCAGTTCGACAACTCCTTCATCATGGCCACCCGCCCGACCCTCTTCACCCGCGGCCTGTCCTCCCTCTCCCAGACCTCCGATGCCAACTCGCCCAATGTCAGCTCCCCGGCCGAGCAGCGCGACGATGCGAAGCGGAACTTCCTGAAGACCATGCGGCCCCTGCCCACCCAGCACTACTGGAACGTCTACTTTGACAGGTGAATGAATACCCCCGTTCTCTTTGTCTGCTTCCGTCTCAAGCTCAAGTCCAAGGGATGATGATGGGGTCTCGAGGAGAGAAAGCGGGAGAACCATAGGCGAGAGAGATACGGACCGTTTGCTAACCGCCCGCGTCCCCACCCACAGGCAGAACAAGGACCAGAAGCAGCCGGACGACGGCAGCTACCAGGTCTCGCTCGAGCAGCTCGGCACGCAGATCGAGTCGGTGCAGGACTTCTGGCGGTACAACAACAACACGCCGGTGGACCAGATCAAGATGCGGGAGTCGATCTACCTGTTCAAGAGCGGCTTCAAGCCCATCTGGGAGGACCGGCGCAACGTGCAGGGCGGCAGCTGGACCTTCCGGATGCCCAAGAGCGCCGGCCCGGACTTCTGGACCCGCGTGCAGCTGATGGCCATCGGGGAGAAGCTGCAGGAGGCCCTGGCCGAGGGCGACCAGATCTGCGGCGTCGGCCTCTCGGTGCGCTTCAACTCGCACCTGATCTCCATCTGGCACCGCGACGCCAGCAAGCAGGCCAGCATCGACGGCATGCTGGCCGCCGTCCTCGACGAGCTGCCCCCCGAGCTGCGCCCCAAGCCCGACAACTACTTCTACAAGAAGCACTCCGACCACGCCGGCTTCAAGGCCCCGCCCGAGCTCCAGGCCGTCCTCGACTCCCAGAAGCGCGCCCAGGAGGCCGCCGCCGCCAAGAACGCCAACGTCACCGTCACGCCGCCGGAATAACCACCCCTCCATCTGCCGGGTTGGCCCCGAGGAAACACGGGATCATCCAGTCAGTGCAGGCGGCCATGAACAGATAGACGGAAGGGCTCTGGCGGACCTGGAGCGCTAGGCCGTGCAAATATCTCGGATGAGTGTCTAGGGTGGAACACTCCTCCCATCTCGTGTGGCCATAGAAGGACAAATGTGCATTATTTAGGCGTTTTTTTTTTCCCCTGCTGGAAAGCTTGCAGTAGAGCATATGCGAGACAAAACCTCGAAACTCAATAGGATATCCATAAGGAAGCATGTCACGCCACTTAGCAAATAGCGAACTTGGCTCGTTGGAATTCAAGACATGGTGTCTTTATTCAGTTGGTTACCTATCCAGTGCGAGGAACTCGAAGCAGCACGTAGAAGGACTTTGCCCTGTTGACGTTGACGTAGCTTGGAGATTCGACTCCGAGGCCTCTGAAACCCGAACCTCCCCGGCGAGCTGCAGGGTTTTTCGTCCCTGGCGTTTCTCTCCCGTGCACGGAACGATTCTTCATCTCTTCGCGAGGTATTCATTCCCAAGTCCCAATCGCGCCCCTAAGGGTCTCCAGTGTGACTTGACCTGTCTGCCTCCCCCTCCCGCGCCTCCCTCAGGTATACCAAGGGTCTCCTCCTGCAGGCGGCATCCAGGGTTTGCTTTTTTCCCCTTTGAGACCCAGTCAGTCATCGATCAGGGCCGCGAACGTCTCGAGCCAACCGCCGGGACGGTCCGTGGTAGCCACAGGACTCGACCACACCTGCGGACCCCACCACGTCTCTCCGGCAAGGAAGCCCGAACACTGCGTTTAGGTGGTGCCTGGACAGACAGCACAGCACCCCTCCCGCCCTCTACTTCCACGCGCCCGCCCTGCGCATGACCGCCTCGAACTCGTCGCGGGCGACGCCGTCCGAGACGCCCTTGCCGCCGTTGGCCTCGAGGATCATGTCGCGCAGCAGGTCCTCGTCGACGTCCTGCTTGAGCGTCATGGCCACGCGCTTGAGGTGCGCGAGCGTCAGCCGGGGGGCGTCCGGCCCCGCCGCCTCGCCTTGTCCCGGGCCTCCGCCCACGAACAGGCGGAACGCCTCGTCGACCTCGGCGGACGAGGAGGAGGAGGAGGAGGAGTCGCGCGCGTGCAGCTTCAGCGCGCAGATCGCTACGAACGGCTCGTACCCCGCGAAGCCCTCCGAGTCCGGGTCGAGGATCGAGAGGAATTCGCGCAGCTCCGGCTTGCTGGGCGGGATGCCGAGGGCGCTTGCGGGGTGTGGTTAGTGTTTTTTCTTCTTCTTTTTTTTTTTTTCTCTTGTCCCTTTCGCAACGGGTAAGGAAAGAAGGGGGGGGGGGGGGGGGGGGGGGGGCGGAAGGATAGGTAAATAAGAAGAGCAGGACGGAACATACACCATCGCCCGCCGCACGTCGCGGCTCGGGATCACCCCCGGGTCTTTGCCTTTCCCGGGCTCCGCGAACAGCGCGAACGCCTCCTGGATCTCGCGCTCCTCGCGCGCCGAGATCCCGTGCTCCTTCGCCAGCTTCGACTGCCGCTCCTTCGGGGCGGACGGCGGCGGCGGGGGGCCGGTGGCTTTGCGCTTGGGTGGCTGGGGGAGAGTGTCAGTCGCCGCTGTTGCTTGTCTTTGGGGATTGTGAGAGAACTGACCATGTCTGTCTGCTCTCGTCGTCTACCACCCCCAAACTTGTTGTGTAGCTTGAATGTGCCTATACACGGGTAAACAGACGAAAAGTACCAGAGATCCCAGGGCGTCAAGTAGACTTGGAAGGTATGCGAAGGTGTTGGCGTTGGTGGTGATGGTAAGTTCAAGGTGTGGCTGCAGTGCACTGAGACGCGCGCGCGCGACTGCTTTGACGTCACGCGCAGTTGCCCGTTCCGTCGCGTTAAGTGCTGCTGCTGCACCTGCCTGGAATGCAAGCACATGCCAACTTAAACGTCAACCCCTTCCTTCTACTTCTGCAAGCGATCTTTAAAACTTTTGCGGACTTCGCTTGATCCTTCAACTTTCTCTGGTAGTATTCCCTCGCGCGAGACATAACTACATACGCATCCCCCTGACGCCATAGACGACCGTCGCAATCTACAGCATTTCGCCTACCCGCCAAAGGAAACCAATTATCCCAGGGAGAGGACAATTGCAAGTCATTATCATGCCTTATTCTACGACTGCGTACCACGGCGAGAGAGGCCTGCCTCGGAGGCACCTCTAGTCGGGAATATAGGCAGGTTTACCGGCCAACAACTTCCATCAATTGCATAAAGCGGGGATAGCTCAGTTGGGAGAGCGTCAGACTGAAGCCACACTTCAATCTTGTCATCTGAAGGTCGTGCGTTCGATCCGCACTCACCGCACATCATTCTTTTGATCTCTTGGTCAACCCTTCAATGAGGCTTGATTTTCTTTTTCTTTCCTTTTCCTTCTTTTCTTTTTCTAAGTAGCTGGGTTATAAGTCATGGTTTGACAATTTGTATGCAGAATTGAGAAGTTAAACTTGGGTCTCTGCGAACAGTTTATCTGGAGTGAGTGAGTGGTTAATTTGCGACACATTATGGTCTTTGGTAAGTAAAGTAGTTTTGATATCTTCAGCCCAGTGTGATCTCCTTCCAGGCCATCCCAGGGTCGAAAGAAGCGTCTTCGAAAGCATTCTTGTAGATCTTGGCCAAGCCAGCCCTCTCCGCCACGGTTCGTTCCTCGTCCCAGACAAGCAGCAGGGCGTAGTAGAGGTACCACTCGGAGATGTCGCGCTCCTCGGGAACATAGTATGCCCAGGTGTCCAGCTCGTCCATGGAGAAGTCCCGCGCTTCGGAGATGGCGGCGAACTCGAAGACGCCGCCGACCCGGCTCGCCCAGTCGTCCTCGAGCACCAGCGTCCCGCACCAGTCGCCTTTGCGGTCGAGCAGGCTCATCCTGCGCAGTCCTTCGCCAACCCCCGAGGACAAGGCGGCGTTGGCCATCGACCGCCTGGAAAGTTGGAACTGAGCAGTGTAGGTCCAGAAGTGCAGACAGCAGTCCATCGGCGGCGACGTGGGGAGTGTGGGCCTATCGTCACTGTGACTGATGCTGGGTTTTGTGTCCAGGTGCTGAGGATTGCGGCCATACGGAGTACAGCCAACCGGGCCATATCCAGACCATCGTGATACCCCCTGACGACCCTCGGTGGGAGACCTTTCCCAAACGAGCTTCATCTCCTTGCCCTTGCCGTAGTACCAGACGATCCACGTGTGCATACTGATCCATTCGTGGAGGTTCGTCAAGGTGCCCGAGAGAGTTGACAGCTTCCACGTTGAAGCTCCAAACCAGCCACACCAGGACCAGCTCGGAAATTGTGTCGTCTCCCGGAGGGTTTCTTGCCGTTGGATCCTCTCCCCCTTCTCCGTTTTCTCCCAGAGCAAGGCCCAGTCGAAATAGGAGTCCGGTAGCCCGTACACCATGGTGGCGTTGAGCGAAGGACATAGCACATTCGCAAAGCCATTGAATGCCACTAGACGGTCACCTGGGAAGGTGAGTTTCCGCCCGCTGTAGAGCTCGACTGACTCCGTGTACTGATAAACAGGATTCTTAGAGGTTCGCATCGGGGAACCAATCATTTCCAATGTCCAGGCCGGGTCGTACGTCTCGGCTTCGATCTCCTCCGACCAGGTGACTTCGCGACACTGGAAATACACGCGGTCTTCAACGAAGATGAGACACCTCCGCGAGAGCATTCGTTCTTGAAATGTCCAAGCTCTCGAATTCCAGGCTGTTGGCTGTATGCGACTTTCCACAGGTTTCACTGCGAGGAGTTTCAACTCGCCGACCATGGAAATAGCCTGGACAGCATTTCGAGCAGTCGCTGCCGTCCCAGGTATGCCTTCGGAAGCATCGCGACCGGACGCGGCGCAGACATTCAGGCACCCATTACCATAAATCCGATCCATAATCGGTGCAGTTTTCCCCCAGCTTTCCGGGTCATCCTGCAGAATACACAGGCTGTCAATCCAGATATATGGTATGCCCATTTCTCTGATGAGGATCATTACATCACGCAAAGTCCTGGGCAGATCATATCTCTCTGGGCGTAGTGCGCCTGGCTGACAGAATTCGTAGTAGTTCTTTGACAATAACGTCAGGGGAGCCGGCCCACCCCAAACATAGCTGATAGTCGCGTAAACCAACCTCGCCCTCTGGTCTACGGGCATTGAACCCAGATTCACCAGACACTGATGCTCTAGGTCGATGAAATTGATGAAATCGGCCTCTAGCAGAGCCTGCGGAATCGGCCCATCGTGACACGAACCTTTGTGCCGTCCGGTGCATATCGTCAACCACTTGAGAAGGAGGCCGACATCGACATGAGCCCGTGGAATTGGACGGCCAAGAAAGTTTGGTTCAGCTACCCCATCCGTTTTACGATCGGAAAGGGGCATGATGTAGGCATCTTGGAACCATCGTTGCGGAGTCGACAGTCGGATGCGGCGCGATATGGCTCGATCAGCCCTTCTCTCCCCAGTGCGCGTCATATCGTCTCTGAGCATGCGGGCGTCAAGCTGCCAATCAAGGTGGCATTGTATTCTTTGTCCGTCCGTCGAGAGGCCGTCGTACCCAATGTTGGAGCCATTGACGGAGTGCGTGGCCTTGAAGATGAGCCAGCAGAAGGAGCACATGGCACGCCGGCGGTAGATCTCGTCGAGATATCCTAGCTCGCAGACATCCAGGCCCAGCGGGTCAAAGTCCGCGCTGAGGAGACCTGGAAGATCACGCGGAAGACTGCCGGCATTTTCGCTGCTGGGATCATCACGGGGTAGGAATTTGTCTTTGGTCAAGTGTAAGCCTTGGCAGCGATGACACAGAACGTCCTCTGGGGGTGCGAGGTCTTCGACACGGTTCGAGATTACCCGTACCATCTTGACGGGCAATAGTAACACCACGTATGTTCAGAGTTTTCGGGAGAAGACAGGTCGCATCTTGGGCATCCAGCTGGGGATGACTTCGCCATTGGGCTGACTTGAGCTGACTGCCGGCGTCTAGAGGCATGGTCCCCCACTCAGCCTTGCAGAGGCTCACCTGGTTTTGGGCGAATCGTAAGGCCTGAAGCTTCACACTTGGCATATTCCCACTCGCATTGGCAGCCTCCCAGAAGGTCATGTTGCTGCTGGGTACCTGTATCGTCCAATTTGAATCGACGGAGCTCGGTCATGGCAACGTGGGCACTTACTTGGGCTAGCATAGTGACTTGACTTCAATGCATCTTGTCTCATCACCCGGAACTGCTGATCTTCTGTAGTGTCTTGGCCAACCCCTCCCGTTACGAGAAGGATTGCTCGCCTCTTGGCGAAACCTCGTAAGCACGTACTTGTGAAGTGAGACATGGGCGAGTAAACGACGAGGCATGGCAGAGTTGGTCCTTGAATCGTGTTCGGAGAAGGCGACTGCCGAATCTTCTGAAGGCCACCGGTTTAAACTAATAAACGTCAACCGATAGACGCTTAACAAGCTCATATTGATTATTACCATCACGGCATAGGTACGTATTCATAGGTCACGGCAAGAGAGCGTATATAATTCGCGATCTTTCTTGATTTCCCATAAAGATACCAAACGTAGAGCATAGGACTCGGCGTCAGGCAGAATCCCAACTAAGAGCTCTTGACCCAAGCCTCTCTCAATGCCAGTAGACGAACTCCAATCGCCCAAGTATCTTTTGAGATTCTCAGATCCCCAGTAGTGCAACGAAAGAACGGTGATTCGTTTTGGTTCTTCCACGTCCTGACTTCGTCATCCCCAGTCTTCACCGACTCTCCACCGGCTCTCCACGGTCGAATCTGGGTATCAAGTCAAGCTTGAGTTTGGCAGCGAGCACATTGCCTCAACTTCGGGTACCACGGCCTCTCTGCCCCAAGTAACCCATTCCCAAGCTCTCGCCAAACAGAAAGAAAAAGAAAACTAGGCTGGTAGGCCCAGAAGATGCTGAAACGGTATGTCCAGCGGCATAGTAGCGCCCGGCTGATCGGAGTACTCCAATCATCCAAGGCCGTATGCGTTGTTCGATGAACGAACCTCGAAAGACTTGTATCGAGACCACCATGGTCACCACTGACTGAATTACCATCACCAGACTGGCCGAGACTGCGGTAACGACTTTCCTTCCGGGAGAAAGAACTCGACGGCTTTTGCTGGCGTGTTGTCCGGAAGCAGCTGACGACAAAAGAAATCCGTGATGCTGGAAGAAAACAGTGGTATCAGAGCGCAGACGCCAATTCGTGATATGCTTGCTTCGCCATGCAGTTCAAGTCATGAATGAACCTGATCAAGTAGACATTATGCTGGTAACGCCATGTGGAATGAGATGCGGCCGTCGTCGTATGTCCATGTACAATGCAATCATTGCGAAGCGGCAACGCACCAGTGGCGATGGTATGCCCATGCGCTCTTCTGGCACTCCTTGCTGCAGTACTTGGTTCGGCGACAACGACGACACTTAGCAAACTGCCGCGTGAATTCCTCCCACTTGCCGCAGCGCCAGTATGCGCATTGTCGGATGCCGCCTCGAGCCTCGTCCTTGCGGCACAGGTTCCGCATCACTACCCCAGCCCAGTATTGCATATCCGTGCTGTGATAGCGCACCGTGAATTTCTCGACCAGGGGGAAGATGTTGAAATCGTTGGGAAGCAGATATTCCTCCTCGTACTCCTCCTTACCCAGAGACTCCATGGTAATGTTGTCGCCGTCGAGCAGCTGGATTTCTTTACCGACCTTGAGTCGAGGCACAAGATGCGTCTGCTGGAAGTAGGACCGCAGGTTGCAGTACTTCGAAACATAGGCTAGCAGTTGGAGGGACATCAACACGTCCTCTTCGCGAGGCATCGCAGCCAACATCTGCGGGTTAGGGGGCAGCGGCCGGTCAAGAAGGTATCGCGGCAGGGCGTTGTGGTTCGGCAGGGCAGGCTGTGTCGGTCCAATAGGGCGGTTAGGAGAAAGCCCTAGAGCCGGTCCTGGCGTGGGAGTGTTGTTAGGGATACTGCCATCTATCGGGGTTCTGTGCGTGATGTTGAAAGCTCCGTTGTCTGGTATCTCGGAAACAGTAGGCGTGGTCATATCCAGAGCAGAACCGGCCAAGGTGCTGTCACCCTCGTCCATCGCGATGTCCTGGAAGGCGACGGGAGCGGCAACCTCAGCGGTACCCGACATCTCGGCATCCTGTGACTCGTCAGACTGTACGCTGTCTGTGTTCAGGTCATCCGAGTCCGTCACAGTCGAGGTTTGATGTCGGATCGAAGGGCGCCTTCGAGAACGACCGTTAGGTCCCAGGCCTGCAGTCGGCTGTACCGTGGGAGATCTCATCTGTGGCGGAGGAAGGGGCGTGGTCGGAGAC